AATAAACAATTTAAAAATTTATTGCATCCCAATATAAAATAATAAAATCGGTATTTACATATGTGCTTCTTTACAGCATTTTTTCAAATGCAATGCACTTAGATTTACTATATAATAGTCTGGGACAGACCGTGAATAATGATTAATTTTTACTTTGATATAATATTATATATTAAATTTAACATAAAAAGATATTCCACAATGTTTTGAGGGTGCTGATTATTTGAAGACATTTCACTTTAGGTAGTCCGAAATTATATTTTTTTTTAAGATTTATTAGCAATCACGTATTTATCAATTTAGTAGCTGATATATATAAATGGTTCAATTGCAAACCCAGGAATTTAATATGGTTTTCCTTTATTATAACATTTTATCATATGTAAAGAAATTGTTTTCTCTACAAAAAGATAAAACTAATTTTATAGTTGAAAAAATTTCTCATTATATGTTCCATGTCGATTTTTTGCGAAGGTTTTTTTTCTTTTCATATACAATATTAAAATTGTAATTGGATTTATACTGGAAGAAATAAACAAATTTTTAATATCTAACGCTACTAAGTAAGATTGTAGATTGTAGAATACAAGTCACTCCTGTCCATATCATACCTTTGGGATTGCTGGAGGCTATTCTAGCATTTTTGAACTTGATTTAATTTAATCTTTAAGTATGTTACTATTGGAAGACGAACTGACATGTGATGTACTCAATTCTGGGTGTCAGAAAAAATCATTTCAAAGTGATTGGGATGATAACTGGTACTGTATTTTAAAAAGGCATTGGGGGTAAAACTATTAGAAGTCGAGAATGTTAACAATGTATGGAAGACACCGAACACATCTTTATATTATATATCTTTGAACAATGCCGTGCTTTTATAGAGTATAGAAGAAACATTTTCCGGAAACAATTGAATCATGAATCAAAATGGTTAAATATGAATTTAGAAAAGATTAAGATTTTTATGAATACAGCTGAAATGATAAAAAAATTATACTAACTATACTTAATGGACACACCGGCTCAGACAGCCAATGCTCAGAGCCACATAACTCTTATAATTGGCTATTATAATTGACTATGTTATATATAAAACATCTTAAGAGGTTATAAGAAATGGATTATATTGATAATAGTTTTGGGTGGAATAAATAACTCATTTTAAATTTTTCAAATGCTTGATATCGTATGCTACTTTTGCGTATTCTCTTAGTTATTCCAAATCAACAGATAAACCTTTATTTTCTAAAAGTAGATATCAATTTTTAGCAATTTTTTCTCAAAGATGAGTCTATGAAGGATATATGTGACATTGGGCCATAACGAACTTTTTCCAACTATCATGATTTCTTGCCAGGATTTCAATTTCTCCAAAAATTTTCCGCTTGCTTGAATTTCTTTCTTGTTTGGGCCTACCAGGTTTTCTGCTTCCTTGAGGATTCCACCCTTATTTGCAGATTTCGTTTGGTGACTTTCTCAATATGTGCCCGATTCATTGCCATTTACGCTTTTTGATTTCATTTGCGATAGGAAGTTCGCGGCATGTTCACCATAGTTCGGAATTTCTAATAGAGCGGGGATACCAAATTTTCAAAATTCTCCTAAGGCACTTGTTTAAAAAGGTTTGAAGTTTATAAACCAGGTTGTTGGTAGTGAACCAGGTTTCACAGCTGTAGAGCAGAACGCTCTTGGCATTACTGTTAAATAACCGTAGCTTGGTGTTCTGGGAAAGTATTGAAGAGCTTCATTCTTTATTCAGTAACGAAAAGGCGGAACATGCCTTGTTAATTCGGTTTTGTATGTCGACTGTATATCGTCCAGGTTGAATTTGCCGGTAAGATCAGAATTGTATATCTTCATTGTTTTCGTCTTTGCTTT